GCAGCAGTATGATATTGATATTGATATGAGGCCGAGGTCCTTGTTGATGCCACAAGATGGCTTATTATTGCGCTTGGGCCGTAAGGGGCCCCTCCTGGAGTCTGCACGCCCCTAGTGAGCGCCGTCGACGATAAATAAATGGAGCGGGTTGCACGCCGCAGTGGGTACTGGAGAGTAACGGTCTATGTGTTGCATTGCATATTTGATTGTCATTTACTTATTTATGTGTTGTGGTATTTCCATAATTATTTTCATTGATTTACTGATTTTATACTACTGGGTTCAAGTTGCTGTATTTATAGAATTACTTTGTGCCTATTAAGGATTTCTTATTCTCAGCCTTTATTTATGTTTATTACTCACTGGGTCGGAGTACTCACATTACTCCCTACACCTTGCGTGCAGATCCAGGTACACCTGAGGCTGTGTGAGGACTTCTCTGCCTAGCATCATATCTGGGAGTATCAAGGTAGCTGCATTCCACGTTCGCAGTCCTGATTTTCCTTCTATCTCATTTACTTTATTTCCGCATTTCTAGAGAACAATATGTAGTAGGTTGACACTCATGTATTAGAGGCTCAGACTTGTGACACCGGATTCTTCGGGCTGTGTAGTCGTTTTTATGTTTGGGATTTCCGCATGTTAACTCTATTTCAGGATTTAGCATTTTGATTTAGTAATTTATCTGTGGTAATTAATTCATGAACTAGATAAAAATGATTAAGGTTATTTAATTGGTCGGGCTTGCCTAGCAGTGTGTTGGGCGCCATCACGACCGGGGTTGGGGTCGTGACATTAGTGCATAGTACAGCGTAAGTATATATATTATATATATATATATATATATAATATATATATATATATATACTTACGCTATACTATGCACTAAGTATAAGTGTATTAGGTAATACTATAAGAATATAGCTTATATATATGTATATATATATATATATATATATATATATATATATATATATATATATATATATATATATACGCCTTATATTCGATATAATATTACCTAATACACTTATACTTAGTGCATAGTACAACGTAAGTGTATATATATATATATATATATATATATATATATAAGCCATATTCGATATAATATTACCTAATACACTTATACTTAGTGCATAGTACAGTATATACACTAATACACTTATATATATATATATATATATATATATATATATATATATATATATATATATATATTCGATATAATATTACCTAATACACTTAAACTTAGTGCATAGTACAACGTAAGTATATATATTATATATATATACGCCTTATATATTGGATATAATATTACCTAATACACTTATACTTAGTGCATAGTACAGCGTAAGTATATATATTATATATATTAACGGCTTACATTTATATTATTTAGATAGTAAATACAAAAGTGATTTTTAATTTTGACCATTGTTGACCTCAATGGAGACCAACTTTGGTCGCTAATTATACATGAAATTAATTTAGCGATCAAAGTTTGTAACGACCCGACCAGTCGTTTTGAGTCCTAGCGCTCTGTTNAGTCCCACTTTAGCGACCAAACTTGGTCGCTATCTGCCTACCCTTTATTTAGCGACCAACGCTGGTCGCCAAGTTTAAATTATATATATTTAAATTTTATATTTTTTTTAAAATAATAATATAATTATAAAATTTTGAAGGTGGGTCCCACTTTAACGACCAAGATTGGTCGCTAATCTCAGTAAACCTTTGACCAAGCAAGTCTGACCAGTCCAGTCAACATTTTGACTAATTTAGCGACCAAATTGCGACCAACCTTGGTCGCTAATTTGTTTCATTTATTTATTTTATTATTTTCACTAGTTTAGCGACCGACGTTGGTCGCTTTTCTCTTCAGACCAACTTTGATCGCTATTTTTTGGTCGCTTTTTCCCGGAATTCTAGTAGTGTGGATAGATTAATATTAGCAGTAACCGGGTTAAATTTAGGTTCCCATTGTCTAATGGTATGATATTGGGATCCGATAAACCATGGCCCCTGGTGAAGGATTTTGTTGTAATTGTCTGAGATGGAGATTTTTAGTAAATAGTAGTCAAAACCTAAGTCGATCAATAGAAGTGGTTCAAATAGTTGCCGTAGTTGTTCTAATTTCGTTTTTAGAAAATGATAACCTTTTTTTTTCCTAGTAACTTAATAATAAGGGCTTGGTTCCATGGACGATAGAGTCTAGTTTTATCGGTTGTGGTTATGGGAATGAAGTGGGGGTGGTTTTTGTGATTATCTATTTCATCCTCCAGACAAAGTTTATTCAAGAAGTGAGTTGCAAAGTCAGTAGGCATAGTGGAAGGTTGGGGGAAGAGTTTATCTCGGAGACTTACATTATCAGATGAAGCTGGCATGTTGTTGTGTTGTGATGTTTTTGGTTTGTGAGTACTCCGATGCAGCCGGTCGATTTCTTGTTCTGTCAGTTGGTGTTCTTGCTCAGATTGCATGGTTTAGATTGAACCGTTTCCTATTTTCCTATCCTTTTCATCTTTTTTTGGTTTTCGTGATGTCTGTTTCCTTGCTTTAGAACCCCAACTAATTTGATCTGTGCCGCATAAGTCCTAATAAAGGAGAAAGCACTCTCTACATAGAGAGGAATCAGGATCTGAAGCTTATCGGTTCAAAATTTTAAATCTTTTAAGTTATTGGGTTTTAAATTAATAAGTTGTACATATTCAATAAATTTCTTAAGACAAATACATAATTTAGATCAACGCTATTGGGTTCAACCAAACCCATAGCTTCTATTCTACCTCCGCCCCTATCTCTACTATATTGTTTTTTTTTCATTTTGAAGGCTCGAACCGAGTCTTTAAGTAAGGATGAAAGGGTTCTATCCATCCGCCACAATCTCTGGTGCTTATTCTTGTATTAGGATGTTATATCGAAAAAGTGTTAAGAGAATAATTAAAAAATATGAAAAATAAAATAGTTATACTCCCTTCTTTAAAGAGGGGATCTTGAAATATCAATCAAGGAATCGTGAAATATCATAACTTTTTGACATCATTTTGAATCCAAGAGTGTTACGTACGTTATATTAGTGAGTTCATGATTACTTAGAGTGACACTAGCTCGAGCAGACGATTGATTTATCAATTTTTTACCTAGTCAATAACTACATAATTGTCAATCCACCTCAATGGTAGTTCCTCTCGTGTTTGTCATGAAGCAGTATGGATAAACATTTAAGGTATTGCTTTTAAACGACAATATATTATAATGTATTGGTAATGTAGTAGATGAAACTCCGGAACTACCGCAGAGCATCCACTGGCTTGTAATTAATTTTGCTTTTATATATTATGTATCAATTTAACAACAAAAACAAAAACAAAAAAAAGCCCCGCATTTCAATGGGCAGAAGGAAGATGCTTCTTTAGTAAGTACTATTTTAGCAGGTTATACAAAGAAAAAATTTTGTTTAGCAAGAAATTTTTATTCTTAATTTATCAATTTAACAACAAAAACAAAAACAAAAAAAAGCCCCGCATTTCAATGGGCAGAAGCAAGATGCTTCTTTAGTAAGTACTATTTTAGCAGGTTATACAAAGAAAAAATTTTGTTTAGCAAGAAATTTTTATTCTTAATTTATCAATTTAACAACAAAAACAAAAACAAAAAAAAGCCCCGCATTTCAATGGGCAGAAGCAAGATGCTTCTTTAGTAAGTACTATTTTAGCAGGTTATACAAAGAAAAAATTTTGTTTAGCAAGAAATTTTTATTCTTAATTTAGGGCAATTTCCTGGTCAGCTTTTGTTTGTATTATTGTGAGATCTGATTGACGTTAATCTTTAATAAAACAGTAAGTTAACTTAGTTTGATGAAACTACTTTTAATAAATCCAAATGCAATCAATGAATAACATGATCACTTTCGAAATTCCTTAAATGAATTGCGCCACAACAATATATGAGTCACATTTTTGGATTAATATAGGAATTATTAGTGTCTAAAATCATAAACAGAAAAGTGTAGATGGAGAATATTGGGATTAAGATATTTAAGAAAGGCTTGCCTTCCAAGCAAGTGGAAAGTCTGTATATTTTTTTTTTTCCGCAGTTCTATTCAAGTTGGAGAGTCTGTATATATATATTTTTTAAAATAAGTGGAAAAGTAACATGATGTTGAAAGTACTTTTAGTACAAAACTTTTTAATAAAGTTTTTAAATTGTTTCATAGCATTAGCAATTTTCAAAATGGATAGGAAAAGAAACGAAATTATAAATTCTTGAACGAATTCCTAATTTGTAATGGAGACGTGAAATATCCTATGTAGGAGTTCTTATTGTGTCAAAATTTAGTTAAGAAGAATCCTAGTCCTACTTTACCTTGAATTATGCAAATAGTACTATAAATCCTAAATAAAACGAAAATATTTACACTCTTCATTGTCCCTAGCTCACCAATCCTAACCACAAATTATTCTTTTCTTCTTTTTCGTATTCCAAAACTAAGAAGATTGCCTAGCAATGGAAGCTCAAAGAACCATTGTAATTATGACAATCATAATTATTTGATCCATCCAATCCGTCCAATCTTCCAAAACTAAGAAGATTGGATGTTTGATCCATCCAATCCGTCCCTAATGAACTCCCGTTCACCCTGTCCATTTAAACTCGTTTTCAACCCATCTAAATTCAATCAAACTCGTCCATTTGTCACCACTAAACTCAATTGATTATTGTCCTAAAATGGATACACTTTCCATCTTAATAAGAATTTGAACTTTGCTTGCGGTTGTGAAAATTAGTCTAATTCATACTAATCTGACAGTACATTTAACTGCCGATTAGTGCGCTATTGTCTCGATAATTCTTTGAAGTTGTTTAATGGTTCCATAGATGAATTTAATTAGTGTTAGAGCTTCTAAATGTTATTCTCTATTTGGCACGCGGAAATTTTTAAGATTGCAAACACTAGGAAATTAGGAAAATACAAGCAATTAATTAGTACAATATAATGATCAATCAAACAGGCGGTCACAATCTATCCTAGTGAAGGACATTCTCATGGTGTTGAAGTCAAAGCCGATATAGAAAAATTGTTGCGCCCAAACTCCAAGTACGCTAAAAGGCATAGGAGGGTTCTTGTTTTCAGAAATTTGTATGGACAGGCAGAAATGGTCAGCTTCATCTTGTGTAAATAAATTTTCAGCAGTAAACTCCATTTTAGCATTTTCAACAAAATGATATGCTATTGTTGGAAGGCCTTTAAGATCCTCGGTGACAACTCCATAGTAACAAAGCTCTTCTGGTCTTGTGCTTATAAATTCTACCAACATCGTATCAATTACAGATTTAATTTCCTCCTTCAGTTTCTTGTATGCTATCTCAGGCAAATAACTAGAAGTGGCCCCAGTATCAGCAAGCATTCCACCTTGATGATCGATCCTCTTGAATATGCTTGGATCAATGTCAAGGAACTTGTTCCCGGCACTGATTTTTTCTAAAGTTATGAAGTATTTGCCTATAACCATAAACATGGGAGTGGACGCTCCTTCCATTATAGGCTTGCCTCCAAGAATTAATGCATTTGAATCATACTCTACATCAGTTATATCACTGATACAGTATTAAAATCCAGTATAATTTTATTGTGAAATCAAAGACACAGCTGTTTGTCCAAATCCAAGGATTCCACTAACACGATCTGCACCATCAGAATAGATTGAGCATTCAAAAATAAGACGCTTGATAGTCACTTCAGTGTCATTGATTGAACTTCAGAAGCAAGATGCCTCTTACTCTTACCATTTGCGTATTTTACAAAATACTCACATCTCCTTGAGATTCTTCCACATCTTCCTCTAAGAGTCATAAGGTCACATATAGATGTCTCACAATATACATCTTCTTCATATGATGAAGAATGTGCATTGTGGTATAATGGAGCTGGTGAGGCTTCACCACCAATGGTATAGCCACAATGAACCCAAAGTAATACACTCCCAGTGTCCATGGTAAGAATTTGTGGCACAGGAGGTGTACCAATTTTTAATGGAACAAGAAACTGAGAGGTATAAGCTGGATAAATCCGAACGTCAACCGCATCTTCTTTCAGATTATTTGAGATATTCATTAGATCTGAAATGCGAGCCTCTGATCGTTGATTCATTCTTTTGATGCGATCTTCAAGTGTCAGTTTTGGGTCGTAGAAAGACAGAATCATAGTGAATAACTTTTATAATTAGTCTATCATGATGGGATGCAGAACCAGGTGTGATTACACAATTTTGTAACAATAGTAATGCTACAAGAAACAATTCCACCATTTTGAGAAATTAATGGGGAAATTTTGACCTTTAACTTTCTTACTTTCCTTTAAAAGCTAGAGAGAGAGAACAAGAAATAGGGTGCATAGAACCGTAAGGATAATGTTTCTTTTTATAGGTATGTGATTCTTTTTTGTCAAATTGGTAAGCATATTTTCTGTGAGTTAACTACCGATTCAACAACTTAAATACATGAGGTTTGAGTTTTTTCAGGGCACACGTTTTGTGTGCATAGTACGTACATTAGAAGTTGATGAAGTAAACATAGAAAATAGGGAGGAACGGAAAAAAGAAGAGATACGGAAAGGAGCACAAAGATTGTGGGTGCAAACTATGCAATTAATTGACTGTCTCTAAGTTTGTGAAAAAGAAGTGGAAAAGTATAGGATATTAAAGATATTTTGTTCAAAAGACAATTCAGAATGTATCCACCTTAAGTTGATCCATCAACATACACGCACACGCTTTTTTTTTTTTTTTTTTTTTTTTTTTTTGGTTTCTGTGTTTGTTGTTGGCATAGCAAAGTTGCTTGATAAGGGTGGCTTCCACAAATATCATCGAACTCGGAAGTGGCAGAAGTAATTCAAAAATTACCGTGATTGTAGAGATTTGATCAATTGTGGTGATGTGGCTAGTGTTGCAGCTACTTTCCGAGACTCTTTATCAACTGCTTTCATTTTACTGCAGCCTCTTTGTCACGACCCCAAAACCAACCCGGTCGTGATGGAGCCAAATGTGGTACTAGGCAAACCGACACATTACAAAAACCAATCAATATTTTCATTCTTAAGATAAATCAAAGTTATTTAACAATAAACCTTCATAAAGTGTTTAAATCAAAACAACAGCGCGGAAAGAAAGCCCGACATCGGGGTGTCACTAGTCATGAGCATCTACCAAGGGCTGTCCGATAACACTAAGACATGTAAAGTCTAGAAAACAACTAATAACAATCTATAGAAAGATAGGAGGGAGAAGAGCAGGGTTGCGATCGCCATGCAGCTACCTTGCTAACTCGAACAGACTCGCGACGGGTGAAATCAACAATCACTAACACGTCCACCAACTCCTGGATCTGCACACAAGGTGCATAGAGTAATGTGAGTACGCCAACTTAGTAAGTAATAAAGGTAAATAAAGACTGAGCAGAAGGAAACACATAAAATCCACATCATAAAATCTCAGTAAGTACAACATGCTTCCAAATCAGTATATGAGTCAAATCATCTCGTTTAAAATCCACTTTTCAGTAAAAATCATTAGAAGATGCTTTTCAACATTTTCAACAGAGGCTCAATGCAATTTAGAGTAATAGTGAAGAAAAATCATAAACAGCCCCTCGGGCAAAAGATCACTCGTGAACAGCTCCTCGGGCAAACATAAATCAAGAATAGTCCCTCGGGCAAACTTCACAGTCGCTCATATACAGCCCCTCAGGCATACCTCACAATCACTCGTAAAAAGTCCCTCGAGCACAACATGAATCAAGAACAGCCCCTCGGGCACAACATAAATCAAGAACATCACCTCGGGCAAAACATCATATCACTCACTCAAGGTACCCGCGCTCACCGGGGGTGTGTAGACTCTGGAGGGGCTCCTACAGCCCAAGCGCTATAAAAAGCCACCTCGTGGCATAAATCAATCAGACCCTCGGCCTCACAATAACAAGCCACCTCGTGGCATAAATCAATCAGGTCCTCGGCCTCACAGTAACAAGCCACCTCGAGGCATAAATCAATCAGGCCCTCGGCCTCACATAATCATGAATCAGTAATAACATGCTGCGGCGCGTAGCCCGATCCTATAATATTCTCACAAAACAGGCCCTCGGCCTCACTCAGTCAGAAACCTCTGAAGCCACTTGGGCTATCAGTAAAACAGAGTACTCAACCCAAAATATCATTTTATGCATGAAAAACGGAGCAATAAAGACAGAGTTATGAAATCAGTAAAATATAGCATGACTGAGTACAGATCTTAAATCAAAACAGTGAGGAAATAATAAGAAAAGGCCCCTAAGGGTCCAAACAGCTTTGGCACGAGGCCAAAATATGGCATTCAACCCAAATTATAGAAATTCATTTCTAAATCACATAAGTATTATATGGTTTAAGTCAATTACGCAACTTAACAGTCGCTACGGGACGGACCGAGTTACAATCCCCAACGGTGCACGCCCACACGTTCGTCACCTAGCATGTGTGTCACCTCAAAATAGTACAACGATGTGAAATCCGAGGTTTCATACCCTCGGGACAAGATTTACAATCATTACTTACCTCAAACCGGTCCAATCCCTACTTCGCGATGCCCTTGCCTCTGGAATCGGCCTCCGAACGTCCCGAGTCTGACCAAAAGCAATACAATGCAATCAATATAGGCCAATGAACCAATCCCATACGAAAAATTATCAAATTATACCAAAACCCCGAAATTCACCCAAACCAAGCCCCTGGGCCCACGTCTCGAAATCCGACAAAAATCATAAAACTAGAAACTCGTTTCACTAACGAGTCTATACATATAAAAATTATCAAAATCCGACATCAAATGGTCCCTCAAATCTTCAAATCAAACTCTCCAATTTCAAGCCCTAATCCCTTCAATTTCATCCCTAATTTCTACCAATCTCATGCTTAAACAACTAAAAATTACCATAATCACAAGTGTTAGGCTCAAGAAACTTACCACAATTAAGAACCCCTTGATTCCCTCTTCAAAACTCCCCAAAAGCTCCAATCCCGTCTTCAAAAATAGAGGAAATAGGCAAAAATTTGCGAAGAAAACCTTTTATACATTCTGCCCAGCATTTTCCGCATCTGCGGTCCCCATGTCGCTTTTACGATGCCGCACCTGCGGTCCCTATGTCGCTATTACGACGCCGCACCAACGAAAAATCCATCGCAGGTGCGATTTTCACTTAAACCTCGATTCCCACTTCTGCGGTCTCGCAGGTGCGGTCCCATATGCGCACCTGCGGCTCCTGCCCTTCTTATCTATGGCCGCTTTTGCGCTTGCTCTTGGGCTTTTGCGGGCACGCACCTGCGGTCCCCTTTCCGCAGGTGCGGTTATGACAGTTGAGAACTAATCTTCAGCATTCTCCAACTTCCATCCTTGATTCGTTAACCACCCAAAATCAATCTGAGGCCCTCGGGACCTCTACCAAACATACCAACAAGTCACATATCATCATTCAAACTTATTCAAACCTTCGGAACACTCCAAACAACATCAATATACCAAATCATTATCGGATTCAAGCCTAAGAACTTCTAAACTTCCGAATTCCGCCAAATGATGCTGAAACCTATCAAATCACCTCTGAATGACCTGAAATTTTAAACACACATCACAAATGACACTACGGACCTACTCCAATTTCCAAAATTTCATTCCGACCCCGATATCAAAATTTCCACTGCCGACCGAAAAATACCAAATTTTCGATTTCCCCAATTCAAGCCTAAATCTAACACATACCTCCAAATCACATTCCGTACGTACTCCCAAGTCCAAAATCACCTAACGGAGCTAACCATCTAAATTCGAGATCGAACACTAAAAAGTCAAAACATGGTCAAACCTTTCATATTTAAAGCATCAAGTTGAGAAGCATTCTTCCGTATTTTTTCCGATTAACCTGAAAATAAAAATCGACGATTCACATAAGTCATAATACATCATACGGGGCTAGTCATGCCCGAGAACTGGCAAGCGAAGTACAAATGCTCAAAACGACCGGTCAGGTCGTTACACTCTTATCTTGAAGCCAATCATTGATTCAAATAAACTTTAACATTAAAATCATCAATAACTGCAGCAGTTGGATTAAAGCGTGCACATTGAATAAGCACTTGCATTAGTACCAAGCATCTTGATGTATGTGTGAGCAAGATTAGCCTTAGATAAGGTAGGGACGAAGCCTGAATTTAAACTTTGTCAGTGCACATTTTTAACTTAAAACGAAGCTATTATATTTTAAAATTAGAGGTTCAGATTACCCGATTATACAAGGCTGCACCGCCTTTGATGCAAAGAGTACAGTGGACCTGTCGAATCTAGAATATGCAGATGAACAATTAAGGCAAGAGGAGTGATAGTTATTGAGTTGAGATACGAAAACTAGTATATATTTGAACCTCCTCGAGAAGCAGTAGTGGCAACTTGCATGCATCCCCTATCAAAGCAATAAAGAGAATAATTAGTAGAAAGGCAAATTTGATAGTTTCATGAATGTTTGGTACACAAACCAAATAGTACTTAACTTTAAGAACAATCTATATTTTATATTGCAAATCAGTAAATAGTGATAAATGTTCATATTATTGTTATCCGAGGAGTATTTAGGCCGTTTTTGCTTCGGTGTGCTTATTCTATTTTTTTATTCCGAGTTTCTTCCCTTCTTCCATGTCAAATTGCGTAGAAACTGAATTTTGGTGTGAGAAGTTGTAAAGTCACCTATTGAAGAAAGTGCGGTTGATGATATACTATGCCTTTTTTTCACAAAGGAAATATATTATGCTCTTTTGGTTAAAATAGGGTATTTGTATTTTAATGTCATTTTAGTTAAGTAAAATTATTGCAATATATGTCCCCTAGAGAATTTTTTGCATCTATTTTGTTAATATGCAATTTTTGGCTATAAATTTATTCAAAAATTTGCTAAGTTTTATCTTTATTTTGGGATTTTTGCATTTTAAGACCTTTTTTTTTCTTATATTTAATATGACGCTCGTCATATATGTGATGTAATACATAACACATTCCCTACTGTGCGATTAGTAATTTTACAATTTTAAATTCCCACATAAAACCCAAATGGATCAATTGTGTTGAGTGACGATAGATGTTTTTTAAATTTCTCATCAAATAGCAAATCGTCATGATGGAGCTT